ATTACTTCTAATAATGTCCTCCAAATTCTCTTCCCTTAATGTTCTCCAAAGTATATTTCTTTAATGTCTATATATTCATTTTGGAGATATTGTGGTGATTTAATGTCCACTGATCTGCTTTGGATTATGTTGAATTTGAATGGACATTATTCACTACTTTTAATGCACTAAAACTCTATTTTCTTGATGTAAAATTTTCATATATTAATATCTAATGTTCTCTATTATTTCTAATAATGTATTAACTTTCTTCTCTTAATGTTTCCAAGACTATATTGCTTTAATGCCCATATATATTTGTGGGACATTGTAGCAATTAATGTCCACTGATATACTCTCAAGTCTCAACTAATGTCCAATTTCAATGGACATTGTTTATACTATACTTAATACTTTCCATTCCAATTTTGATTAAAAAAATTTCTCACCTCTAAAAATCTTTGATATATTTGTATATTTTAATTTATTCTATAAATTAAAATGCTTTTTTTACATTCTTGTTTTATAGAACTTTTAACATACTTTTTAAATATATACTCCCTCCGTCCCATAAAGTGTTACCCATTTTGACTAAAGTAGAAATTAAGGGAAGGATATTTTTGTGTTGACTTTCCAAAAATACCCTTGATGTGATGGGTAAAAGTAGGATGTGATGTGTAGATTATTAGGAAAAAGGTATGATGTGATAGATAGGGTTTGAAAAAGTAAGGGGTAAAAGTGGTTTTTTAATAGAAATGGGTAGGAGATTGTGGGACACTATTTTTTTGAAAGGTGTAAATCTTTTTGGGACGGAGGGAGTATAATTTTTATTTTTAATTAATGTACCAATTTGTAAATAAAATAATAATATAAAAAATTTTCAGATTTTACTTCGTAATGATCAATTATTAACCAAAATTGGGAATGCACTCCGTAATATTTAATTTCAAAATCTCTAACCCTATTTTTCACAAAAAAGAAGAATAAAACAAGAAAATGAAATCTCAATTTAGAAAAAAAGTCCGACTCTATATCATAATGTATGCCACCAATTTCAATTACAATTAGAATTCCTTCCTTTTATACTGTTTTTCATTCTCATAAATTTAGGATGTAGTGCGAGATAATGGGATATATGGTTAGTAGAGTATAAAATGGATGTCAGGGTCAATTTTGTCCATTCTCCTCACCAAACGTTAGTGCAAATAGGACTACTCCTATTTAGGGGAAACTACTCTCTTTTACTCCTATTTGAGTAATTTACTCATTTCAGATTTGTAATGTTCGAATTTTTTTTATTTTTTGTTAAAAATTGCTTAGATCCCCAACGCAACGGTGAAAAAGAAGAAGGCCAGGGGATGAGGAAATAATGAGATTATGGACTTTTTAAAATCCTAAAAATCTTGATTGAAATCTATCTAAATTTTTATGGAATTACAATAATCCATAAATTCTACAAAATCCATTGATTCTTAAAAATCTAAATGAATCTTTTGAAATCTTAATTGAATTTTACTTTTAAACTTTAAGATGATATAACATATAAAAGAGTGAGTTTATGAAAAATTTGATAGAAGTAAAAGGAATATTAGTGTTTAAGATTTTATATGATATTTAATTTGTAACATGAAATATATTATTACTCCGTATATAATATGCATATAGAATGTATATTTTTGTAAAATAGCATCTATGTTTTCCAATATTTGGTTAGTTTAATGTCGATTATTTTGCTTTTGCAAAAAATCAAAAGTAGTGATATTGAAAAGATGTTTAATATTTCAAAAAAGATTAAATATTAAATCAAATTGAAATTCATTACACCAAATCAATGATTAGCTGATTTTCTTATTTTACTTTTTATATATATATATGAATTGTAATACTTTAAAAATACTAAATTTTGTAATAATTTTAAGTTTAATTTAAATCAAATTGAAATTCATTTACACCAAATCTAATTAGATAAAATTAGATTCAACTAGATAAGATCAGATTCAATCAAATCAGATCAGATGTAATCAGATAAGACCTAATCAGATCATATCACCCCCCCAATCTGATCAGATCAGACCCAATTAGATCAGATCCAATCAGATTAGATCAGACGCAATCAGATCAGATCAGATCAGAACTTCAAAAATTTAGATCAGGCGTACGGAATAGAGCCCTAGTGGAGACCTTAATGATTATTATTATTATTATTATTATTATTACTATTACTATTACTATTATTATTATAATAATTATTATTACTATTGCTATTATTACTATTACTATTACTTTTACTATTATTATGACTATAATTATTATTACTATTGTTATTATTATTATTATTGCTATTATTATTATTATTATTATTATTGTTATTATTATTATTATTATTAGTATTATTACTATTACTATTATTATTATAATTATTATTATTACTATTATTATTACTATTATTATTATTATTATTATTATTATTATTATTATTATTGTAGTGATAATTACTACAACTATTCTTAATAATAATATTATTATTATTACTATTATTATCATTATCACTATTATTAATATTTCTATTATTTTTATTACTATAATTATAACTATTATAATAATCAATTTAATTTTAATATAAATCAATTTTATATCGGATCAGATCCAATCACATCAGATCAGTAAGCCTTTTGAAGGTCTCTTGACAAATGCGATGAGTTTACAACTTCCAACAACTTCCAAAGTGATATAAATCAATATAAAATTTACAATCACTTTCAAACAAATATGCAAATAAATCCATTAATCTTATTACTGAATGCCATGCCACTCTAACTCTCAGCAGGTTCATCCAAGAATAGTGTTCCAAAACTAATTACACTTAAGCAGGAATAATGTAATAATTATTTTCTGATCTACTCAGAATAAAGCTCACACGGGAACAAATAATTTTTCCATATGAACCATCAAGGGTGACCCACCTTCTCTCTTAATCTACTTCCTCCGTCCACAAATAAACTTCTCGTTCCGCATTACGATATTTGACTGAAGTTATTTTCAAATCACTTTATATGAAAATGGGGTAAAATTTAAAAATAAAAATTACATATTAAAAAACTATATCAAAAACTCTACAAAACTAGAGGTGACATGACTATTATTTTATCAATATGTGACAAAAATAGGTCAACAAAGTGAATAAAGTTTGACTCTGTGAATAGTGAACGAGAAGTTTATTTATGGACGGAGGGAGTATTACGCAGTACATTATTACACTAGTTCTTCCCAAGTGTAATTGCTTCTTGAACACACTCTTTATGCCCAGCAAACACTATTTAATTGAATTATTAATTCAAAACTTTCAAGTTTTTGAGAAATGGAGAAAGAAGAATACACGATCTTGTACATTGAAGGAATAATCGGCACTTTTCTACCCAATAAGATCTAGAAAGCCAAGAGGCACATTATAAAGTAGAGGATTTTTGTCTTTAGAAGTTGAAATTGAATAAATACATGGAGGACGAGTTTGATACCTGGAAATCTAGATGCTGAAATTGAGAAGAAAACCAGCAATAAATAGGTCGTCGATGTATTCTAGAAGAGTTGGAGAATGGAAACGATTATTGCTGGATGGAGTCTCTGTAAATTCAAGAAGAGGTAGTCAAAGAAGAAGAACATGCAAAGAGGGAACTACGGCACTCCAAATACCCGTGAAGCCGGACTGGAACTTTAAACTTTCTCTCTCTGCCATGCCAGTTTTAACTTACCTCATAGTTTTCGTAGAAACCTTCATTTTTAATATTTTAAAATATACACCTTCTAAAATTAAATTAATAAAATTTAATTATTTAAAAGAATCGAAAGGAGAATATTTCATTATAAGAATTATATTCATTAAAAAAATATTACATCCATAAAAAATTACATTTATTAAATTAAAAAAATTACATTCTTTGAATAAAAATATTACATCCATAAAAAATAACACTACGAACAAATTAGTGAGTATTTGAGCAATTGAAGATATGTTCGATCAAATCCAACGTTAGTGCATTGTGAATCTCTCAGCTTCGATTTTCTTGGCGGTTTCTTCGTTTGTTTTCTTCATCGATTTCTTCGTACATAGGCACCTCCTCGTCCGAGTTGTAATGACAAATCGTAAACCCGTTGTCCTCTATGATCATATTATGAAGAATGATACATGCATACATGATATTCCTCATTTTTGTTTGAGAAAAACATTTGGACGGACGATCTA